GAAAATCTAAATTCGCCAGTAACACCACCTTGTATAAATTCGCCTTGCCTACATAAGAGCGTTAAGCTTGCTCTTGACAGCTTGTTTTTACAACGCTTTTATCAACTTGCAATGTTGTGTGTCCGACACCCTTTTTAGCTATAAAACCTTTGCTTTGCAAAGTTCCTATAAAAAAGTCTAGTGCATAGGGCGACTTCTACCTCCACGGTTGAGAGGTAGATGTCACCCTATGCACTACGTACGCTAGTACTGCTAAAAGTGGTATAAGCAACCTAGAAATAATTTTAGATTCCTCCAGCGAAAGCAAAGGCTCGGATGTAAAATCTGGAGACATTAAAAATGTGAAATAAAAGCTCAATTGAAGGCCTATCTTAAAGAAAAACGGGCACATCTGGGTGAAAATCCTCTCGATTGGTGGAAAACTAAACAAAAATACGACAAATTGACAGATCTTAGCCGCAAATATTTGAGCGCTCCACCCGCCCTTCCAAGTGAGTTATTTTTTAGTGCAGCTAGCCTTATATACGAGCCTTTAAGAAATTGCCTCATGGGAGAAAAGGCCGCAAAATTACTTTTTTTTTAAATATAATATGTCCATTTTGAACTTTGACTACAATATTAAAACACTGTATAGGTTAAGCATTCGTTCAATGTTCTAATAATTTACAAAATTTTTAAGTAATAAAAACGATGACTTAACATTCGCATTCGCATTCGCGAATGTGAAAAATGTGGCATTCGAAACATCCCTAATACATACACAAAAACCATACTAGACTGTCTGCTACTGAAATAAGTCTGATGAGGAAATGTCGTGATTTCCGAAGTAGCTATAACTTCTACCATTTCTTCAAATTATTGTTGCTTTTGCACAATAATTTTTTCATTAAAAACGGCCTCAAGCTCAATAAAAATTGTTGAATGTAATTTATAAATTTTATGAATTTATTAATTATTTAATTTTCAAGCAATTGAGCGTTTCAATTCAATACCATTCACGACGATAGTACTATCGATACTATTAATGTTTTCAACTATCGTTTCGAAAACTATCGATTGGGGGTACTATCGATAGTATCCCAGCTCGAGTAAATATCATAAAGTCGCTAAGAAGGCCATCTTAAATTTGCTTCCTTCTGTCACAACTTACTCCGTCAACAGGGTTTTCAGCTTACACTTATACGAAAAACAAAATCAGGCCGAAATGGGATGCTGCCCCAGAAATGCGCATACAGCTTCCAGACATTGTACGACGAACTACTATTTTAAACAATAATTAATAACAGTGAAACAATTCCGTTCTTCACATTAAAATTTAAAGTATGTATACTATTTCTAGTAAAAGTTTTTATTCATATTTAAATTGCACCGCCTTTAATTTTTAGTAATTTCATGTGTTTAGTAAGGGTTCCATCATCTTAAAACTTTAAGAACCCCTGATCTAGACTGTGTAAACGAGTGCACTCACCATTCTTATCAATGCACTATGGGAAATTTAACCCTAATTTGTGGCCAAAACTCTAAAAGTTGAGATATCAATTTAAAACTTGGCAAAGTAGTATGACTAGAAGTAGTGGCCTTGTCGGGCAAAAATTAACCCGTAATAGTCACACCTCCAAAAAATAGCGTAATGGTCACACGGGTTCCAGTGGACCCCAACCCAATAAACAGATGCGTCGTACGTTTTATTTTAAATATCGACTCGAATCCTCCACTAACCTTAACCTTAAGTTTAAAACTTTCGCTTTGTTATCTGATAGGTTTTTTTCCAACTTTTAAAATTATATACCGTGAATTTTTTCATAAAACTCATGATTTTGTATCAAGTAGTTACCTAAGAAAAATTATATTTTCTTTAATATCGCACAAAATCGCAGTATAAGATTATGGGGAAATAAGAGATCGGGGACTATTCTATCGATTTATGATAAGTTTTTTTTAAACCTTTTTAAACATTTTTTTAAAACACTAAATAAACTTTTTTTAAATTGTACAATTTCACTTTAAAGTCACTTAAATGCGGATGTTTCTTTGGAACAACCTTTAAGCTATAATACAAGTTTTAATTGGTGAATATTCTGCTAACCGTAACTCTTTCTTTCCACTTTTCACTTTTAAAAAGCAGCAAATAGATTACGAGACACGCATTTGAAAGTGGCACATAAATCAAGCTAAACATTTTTCGTTTACAGAAAATTTCGAAACTATCTGTTTGAGGGTTACCAAATCAACGGTAAGTCAATTTATCGAAGAACAGAGTATACAGTTTTTTACTCTGAAGTATTCTCTGTAAGATAAGACAAAAAAAAAATTATTTCAAGCAAGTCAAGAAATTGACTTTTGGCCACAAAATAGGCTCAAATTTCCCATAGTGCAATGTATTAAAAAAAAATAGAAAAATAAAGATTGTGCAAAGCTTATTGTGTTCTACGGGTTATACATCGCGGTGGGGATTCGCCAAAGCTTACGACTGCCACACTATAAAGGGGATGTAGAGGGTCACGCCTCAGCCAGAAACCCCAATTGTAATATATTTGAGAGACCTCATCTACTTTCCAATGTAAGCGGTTCATTTATTTGCCCTGAAAACTCAAGGATTATTAATCCACTGGGCAGTCGTTTAAGAGATGCTTGAGACTACGTTGTCGTAACTAGGACAAAGCAGGACAATGTCAGAGAACAGTGTCCATTCATAAAACTAACCCTTGAGATAGTGGAGTGACAATCAAGGAGAACTTGAGACAATATCTGTTTCCAATAATTCGTGGGCCGTCTGAGGATGTCTTATTCAAATAAAACAGATCTATGTAGTTCGTTTGAAGGTAATTTACTTGGCGGAATTTGGAGCAGAATTGAACAGTTATAGATTAGTTCCCTTCAATATCAATGCTGTTTCCAGGAATATATCTGTGC